ACCGCTGGTGGCTTACACTGCTTAGCAGTCCAGCCAATGCTCCTTCTCCTTCTCATTCCCCCTTTTCACTCCAGAATGTTCTTCACGCCAATACAGCAGATCGGCGGTGATACTGACATTTTCTTCCCCCTTACTCACATAAAGACCCTTAGATCATAAAGCCTTACACGGGAAAATGGTGAATGCTTTTTCTTATAGAGTTTAACAGACTTGTAGATTATGGTTATTAATAATAACAGTAAAAACAATTAATGTTGCATTTACAGGTCGACAGAGTAGCTGTCTGTGGGAAACTCCGCCTTCTGATACTGTATCGTACTTTCTCTGGTCCTTAGTTCAAAACCCAGTGGGTGGCAATTTTTAATTCACAGTATAGATCAGTGAAAATAAACTCACTTTCCAATTGAAGAAGGCATAGATTTTTCTTTTTCCCTGTTACTTTTAAAATGTGTTGCATAGGGAGGTACATTTTTTATTTACTGCAGTGTTAAGAGTGTAGCATAGTGGCTAAAAACACCAGCTCCGAAACGAGGAGCTGAATTTTACTAGCTGTTGACCGCGGCAAGACTTGGTTTCCTCACCTATAATCGGGTGGGTGTGAGAAATGCAGGAATTAAAATGTGTATAAAGTACGTGGAATAGCATCGAGCAGATGGCATGCACTGGTTTACATGTTAGCTGTTTTTGTTAGCTGCTTTACCAATCATTATGTTGTCAACTTTATGATTATCTCCATGAACGGTGTTAAATCAAAATATAATTTCATGAGAATTGGAAAGAATAAGCTTTGATTTGCACTTATATTTTTTATATTTTATTGCTGCCTGTACTTCTGTGGCTTTCCCCGCCATCCCCAGACCCCTCTTAGTTTAACCCGTGACTCAGTTTCCAATATAGGTTTCAAGTTTCCCAAAGAAGTTTTGTCACCCTGCTTTTTGGATTCCTTAATTGACTGAAGTTTGAAGGAAAAAGAATGAAACTCAGGCTACTCAGAGCCACCCTGACTCCACCAGAGGTTTTCCCGCCCAGTGTTTGCCCACAAATCAGCCGGGCCCCAGACGATCAGCCCAGCCTGTGCGGAGCCATCTGTCTGATTTTTGGAACGACTGTCAGGTTTTGGACAGGTGCCCTTCTTTATCAGCACAACCTCCCGTGATGCTTACTTATCAGGCTCTGAAAGGTTTTCTTGACTTATAATCATCATTACCTTGGATATCTGTAGAGTGCTTTTTTTTTGTTTTTTTTTTTAAGTAGCAACTTTATTCCTTTTCTTTTTTTTTTGAGGTGGGGGTGACTATCTTGAACCTGTTAAGCTAGTCTCTAGTTTATATATGCCAATTACTTGGGCCACATTTATTAATACTGGATATATGTATATAAAAGTAATTTTCCTATAGCTGTGACACTAGGTTCTTTTAAAAATTGAATCAGTACACTTTTGATAGATGTTGCTAAGCAATCATGTTGGTGCCCATATAAAAGTAAGAGAAGGCAATATGAATCATCGCAGCTTGTTTTGCAATAGAAAATCATTGCCAGAGGCATTGCATCTTTCTTTTAAAATAAGTTTTTGACTTTTTTTTTTTTTTAGAGAGAGAGAGGAGTGGAGAGGGAGAGAGAGAAAAACACTGTTGGGTTGCCTCTTGTACGCACCCCTACCGGGGGATTAAACCCGCAACCTGGATGTGAGCCCTGACTGGGAAACAAACGGGATCTTTTGGTGCATGGGCTGATGCTCAACCCACTGAGCCACACGGCCAGGGCTGCCAGAGGCCATATTTCAACAATCATGTTTGTGTAATGAATGGATTGGCTAGGGTGGTTACTATCAGATATTCAAAATTAGCTACAAAATATTCAATTCAAATATATAGGTTTTATGTTACTATTTAATTACCAAACAGTTAAGTTCCGTTTCACCATGTGGTTCTTTCAGTAAGATCAGAAGAGAGGGATAGGAGGAAAAGGTGAGCCCATTATTTGGAGGAAATGAGCAGGTATTAGGAAAGTCAGTGTTACTGCCTGGCTGGCGTGGCTCAGTGGTTGAGCATCGACTTACCGTCCAGGAGATTGCAGTTCAATTCCAGGTCAGGGCACATGCCTTGGTTTCGGGCTCAATCCCCAGTCAGGAGTGTGTAGGAGGCAGCCGATCAATGGCTCTCTCATCGTTGATGTTATTGATAATTACATGTCCCTAACCCACCACATTCTGTGTATTGTTCCCTAAGCTCCTCACTTTTCCTGACCTTTCTTTGGCCCCTGATGAGCTTATTCAGCACCACCTGCCCTGGTACTCTCTCCTCTCCTTACTCTGTACTCTCCTAGCTCTTCTTTTGAGCCGATAACTATTCATTTTCTGATTCCTTAGAAAGCAGGATCGATAAATCTTCATCCTACTATTGAACCTGGTTATTGTGGTGGTGAATTCTACTGATAGCTCTTCTGACGTTGAGCTTTTCCGAGCCATCCGTGTTTTTCTGAATTACGCCTTTCCCATATGAAAGTGTGTGTATGTGTGTGTGTACACGTATGACACACTAATCCAGTTATCCTTAAGAGTGTTTTACCTGTGTTCTTAAATGAGATGGCCTCAAATTTTTCTTCCTCATCATGTGTTTGTCTAGCCTGAGTATCAAGATTATGAAGATCATAATAGCCTCAAAGCTGCAGGAAGAGAAGCTTTACCTCTTGGTCTATTCTCTGAAATAATTTGTGTAAAATTAGAACTATATACCTCTTAAGGAGTTGGTAAAACTTAATGTATAAAACCGAGCCTGCAGCCTTTTCTGATCTTCTGTGCCTGGGAGTTTCTTATGTATTTTGTTTGGGTGTTAGAAACTCTAATAACAAAAGAGTATAATGAAACAGTATTTTAAATGTGCTTTTTTTTTTTTTCCTTTTAATGAGGCGGGTGCACATATTCTTATAGGCGTAGGGGAAGGGGCTTTGTGGAGGACCAGAGAGGTGACTTAGGGAAGGGAGGAGGTTGGACTGAAACCAAGTCGCAGGGAGCCGACCGATCCTCGGGAAGAGGGTAGAGCACGGCGATTCTGATCTCGTAGGGAAAGGGGAAGCGGTGGGCGCCGATGCAGCTGTATTTGCAGTGAGACACATGGGCTGATCCGGGAACTTTGTCCGAAAGCCCTCCTGGGATCCAGTAAGGCAGAAAGAAGGCCCTGTGACGTGCAAAGCTGAGCTGGGCAGACCCTGTGGAGGATGCACCCCGAAATCAAAAGGGGAGAACCTATGCAGATCATCCACCTCGGATCTAGAGTCAACCATAAAAATACACAGCTTTAGTGGGGAAGCTACTTAGCGATTTAAATAAGGACGGTTGAACCGCATTGACACAACTATGTACTGTTGATTCATTTCTCCCTCTCCGCATGACTCCTCTTATTAGCTTAGTGTTTTAGGAAGTAGTTTGACTGTTGCTCAGGGCAGGTTTTAAAACCTGAAATATGTGTCTTCATCCTGGGTTTTGTCGGTCACTCTCTTTCAATTCTTTTAAATGGAAAGAGAAATGCATGGGAAAGAGGTTAAATCTTTCCCTTGGTTTTACCTAAGCCCCAAACCCTCTCTCTTTTCTATGTTTGAATACTTCCTGTAACAGTATAAACACCCGTAAACACCTGTATTTATAGATACTGTGTTTAAAGAAGATACTAGTGCTAGTTCCCTATCTGAATTAATAAAATCCTGGAAGGAACTGTTTATTAATAGCTTTTTATAGCTCCCGTGCCTTTTATATACTTTCCTATAAATAAGTATTTTGTTTCAATCGACTTGCTTATAAATGAAGAAATTTATATAAAGTACTAAAAAAAATCAAGATACTATACACATGAAAAATTTAAAAACCAAATACCGATCTCTACATAGCTCAACCTTGGTTTCCTTTAAATTTTCAGTTTGTCATTTTTTTCTTCAATAACCGATAGTAGAGAAATACCATGTTGTTGTACAAGCTTGAAAATAATCCACTTCATTTGCATCAACAAGGGCATTGTTACAGGACGTGTTACAGGACATGGGTATATTTCCGCATAGATCTACTTTAGCATCTGCTTTTGTTGAAAGAGATTTTTCCTGCCCTGCACATTTTTTCCTTGAACCAGTAATTTCGTTGATTTGATAGTTATGTGCCTATTTAATCAGTGTGATATCACTCAATGTTTAATCCGAGAAAAAGAGACACTCAGATAACATGGTTAACTGTGAAGGCTGATGACCAAGTATGGCACAAATGGCAGGTGAATCGAATATTTTTTGTGTCAGAAATGAGCTAATGAAATTTACAAAAATGGCTCAGGAAGCACCATTCGAGGCCTCTTCAAATCCTGTCATTTTATAAGAATAGGACTCTAGGCTGGAAACCATTTAATAGGATGTATTAGTGCTTGTAAATAAAAGCCAAAAACCTGTCTCTAAAGAGTAACTGTTCCCTGATTTCCCTTAGAAAAAAATGCAAATGAGGCCAGAAGTAACTGTGGATATCTTATCTAGGAAAGACACGTCTAATCAAGGGGCCCAAACAGGAACGCGGAGGGTGGGATGTGGAATGGCACGTCCTCCCTGAAAGGAGGCCGATGGTGCTCCCGCGTTTGTCTGTGTTCCTATGGAGAGCTTTTGCGATTTTGCCAAGTCTTTGGCTCTTTCCTGTCAAGTTGCACAGGAAATGGTCTTTTCTGTGAATACCGTGTTATTTTCTGCCCAGCACAGAGTCAATGGGAAAATGCACATCTGGCTCGTAAATCACAACCACGCATCCACGCCCTGCTCGCTCTTTATTGGGTGGCCGTTCACGTGCTTTACACATTCTCTTTGTGGATTATGTGACATCCTGATGGAAACCTTCAGTGGCCCCTCAACAGTCACATCGGGGAACCTGTACATCCTTTCTGAAATGTAATGTTTGCTACCTGAAGTGCACTCTCTGTGGTCCCCAAAAGAAAAATCATTCATTTTTATCTTTTCATTTATTTATTTTTCCTATTTAGAAATTGGCCCCTGGTTACGGGAGTTCAGAGCGGAGAATGCTGTGGATTTCTCGCAGTTAACATTTGACCCAGGACAGAAAGAACTTGTTGTAGGAGCAAGGTGAGAGATCTTACGTTTTGCCACCACAGATATGTTCGGACTTCATTTTATGTCTGTGCAGTTACACATGGGCTGCTCTGCCACAGTTGACAAGTGCTAAGTAATGATTCTTCCAAGTATGAAGTACAGTGTGAGTGTCATGCAGTAGACTACAAATGGTAGGACCACACAGCAAGCATTCATTGGGCCCTCCCCGTGTGCCAGGAACTGTTCTAACCTGAATTCACTCACTTTTTCCTCCCAGGAATCCTGAGAGGTAGGTATTGTCAACAACATCCCTATTGTAGCGATAAGGAAATTGAGGCAGAAAGTGGATAAATACATTGCCCCGGGAAACATTTATTATGTCTAATAAAATATGGACCCAGGTTTCAGAGCCAGGTAGTTAGACTCCAGAAACCTTCTTAACTTCTCACTAGATTCCTCAGTAAAATTCTGGAGATCAACAGACCATATTGTCCATTCTGGCTCATGTCACCTTTCTTTGTGACCATGATTAGGCCATTTTCCAGCCAACTGAGAATTCAAGGAAGTTGTTACTATTTATATCTCTTAAGATGCACAAGTTCCTGTTTCTAGGTCAACATTTGACATTTCAGTTTGACACTGAGGCCACCGGAACACAGTCAGCACAGATCTTGTTTCCCCGTCATATTTACCATGACTTCCTTAGAAAATGTGCATAATTCCTGCACTCAAATCATCTCCCCTGTCAGTGTATTTTGAGGATGATGTATAAAAAACACACTACGTCCGTCCCTTAGGGCTCACTTAGTGTGCTTTTTCTTACTTCAGCCCATTGGGAATACTTGGCGGATTTCTGATGCTAATTTCCATTTAAATTCCATCACTGGAAATCTGGGCTGTTTGTTGCAGGGATTGTTATTGGTTAACTGGCCTTTAGATTTTCTCTTCCTTCTTCATACTATGGCCAATGTCATCTTTTTAAGTATCCCCTTACAGTAGCTCCCATTGCATAAATGCTGGCTCTTTGATGTGGTCCACCACACCCAATGCCTTGTGGGCCCACATCTCTTACACTCACCTTTTTTCATTCTCACATAGTCTAGGCATGTGATATTATTTATGTTCCCCGCAAAGTAAAAAGTTCTCTTTCTTGCCTCTGGTATTTGGTTACTGGAGTATTAGCTACCCACCCAGCCCACCCAAAGT